AACAGTTTGTGTACATGTGTGACACCTAAGGATGACCATTTAGACGTTTGGAGGTCGGGAGATAAGGTAGAGAGGGCTGACAATGGTGCGAGGTACAGTAACTCTGCTTTTGGCCACAATGCTGTATTCCACGAAGACCATGATTTTGTAAAATATTGTGATGTTGGAAGCGTGGAGCGTGTTGCTAAGGGGGTGGATGACCATAGGGCATCATAGAGGGAGTGTGAACCCCCACAAGCGGATTCTAGGTCTACCCATACTAGTTTGTGTGTGCCCATCATGACATCGAGGCTTTGCGACATCAGGGTTGCTTTGTAGTAGAGCATGATGTTAGGAACGTTAAGGCCTCCTTTCTTGAATGGGCGCCATAAGGAGCGGAAAGAGATTCTTGTTTTTTTTTCCTTCCAAATATGAGTGTTAATTGCCCTTTGGAACCGTTGAAGGAGCGAATTAGGTAAGGCGATAGGTAATGACCTAAACAGGTAGAGTAGATGTGGCAGAATCATCATCTTGATAGAATTTATTCTACCAAACCATGATGTGTAGAGATTGCTCCAAGAATCCATCTGTTTAGAAATATTGGACAGGACCGCAATGTGATTTTCCTTTATAGTTAGGGATTTAGAGTGCGTTAATTTGATACCTAGGTATGAAATTGCGTTAGTTTGCCATGCGAATTGGTAGGTATTTTTTAGTTCGTTCACCAATTGCTTATCAAGTCTTATGGGGAGTATCTGGGTTTTATTAACGTTATTTTTATAATAGCAGATATCTCCATATGTGGTCAGTGTGCATAATAGGTGAGGTATGGATTCAGATGGGTTGGCCAGAAAGAGGATCACTTCATCGGCAAAGAGTGCCAACTTTTTTTCTCCAGCCGGAGTATCTATGCCGGGTAACGCCGCATCAAGCTTGATCGTTCTTACTAGAGGTTCCAAACATAAGATGAAGATCAAGGGTGACAAGGGACACCCTTGCCTCGTGCCATTAGTTATACGAAAGTTCCTTGAGGTGAAGCCGGAACTAAATACCTTAGCAGATGGAGCGGAATATAGGGCCATGATACTGGTAATGAAGGCATTTGAGAAACCAAAGGCCGACAAAGTTTCGGACATATAATTCCAATTTAGGTGGTTGAATGCCCTTTCCGCGTCTAATGCCAACAAGGCACCTGATTTATTTTTAAAGTTGGCCCAATCAATTAAGTCCATTCAGTATCTGGTGTTGTCCCCAACTTGCCTGCCAGGAACAAAGCCCGCCTGTTCCTCTGAGATTAACATGGACAACAAGGGACGAATTCTGTTGGCAAGCAGTTTAGCGTACAACTTAACATCGGCATTAAGTAGTGAAATCGGCCTGAGGTTGCTGCAAAGTGTTGGTGGTTTATTTGGTTTAGGCAATGTGATAATGTAGGCTTCCAGCATTTCTTGTGGGAATTTACCTGCCATTCTAATTTTGTTAAATAATGTTGTAAGGTGTGGTGTTAGTCGCGATGCCAATTTTAAATAATAATAGTTGGAGAGACCATCAGGCCCGGGTGCTTTATGTTTTGGCAAGGATTTAATCGTGTTAGCCACTTCAATATCCGTAAAGGGGGCATCTAAAAGGTTATTGTGATGCGTCGATAGTTGAGGGAGTGTGATCCGAGAGAGATATTGTGTTATGTCTAATGCATTGGGAGTTGTTGTGACTAAGCTATTGCGAAGATTGTAAAGATCTTCGTAGAAGCTGGCCAGTTCTTCAACAATCATATTCGGGTTATATAGTCTTACATGATCTTTGGAATATAAATAAGGGATTTTAGTTTGTAGATATTTTGCTTTCAGTTGATTAGCCAATATCTTGCCTGCCTTATTCCCTGAAATGTAATACGTTTGTTGAGTTTTACGTGCTTGCTTAGTATATAATTGTGTTTGAAGAAGATGAATATCCTGTTGTACTTTGGTAATTTGACAGGTGACTGACTTAGATGGGGATTGTTTGTTGGATTCTTCTAACTTCCTAAGGGTATGGCAAAGTGCAGTCTCTTTAGAGATATAACTTTTTTTAACTATGGAACCCAGTTTAATGAAGTGACCCCTGACGACTGCTTTGTGTGCCAGCCATTGGGTTTCTACTGTGGTATCTTCCGTGGAGTTAGCCTCAAAGTAATTATCTAGTACCGTGGAAATATGTTGAATGTCGGCAGGGTTGTCAAGTAGAGATTCATTCAAACACCATTTACCTCTCCCTGTTGTGGGATATGGCACTGCCAGCGTGACCAGGATGGGGGCATGATCGGACCATGTCCGAAGCCCAATGGATTGGCCCTTAAGATGTGGGAGGGTATGTTTGTCGACTAGGCAGAGGTCGATGCGTGTATATGTTAGATGGACCTGTGAGAAGTATGTGTAATCACGTGCTGTTGGAAATAAATTTCTCCAGGTGTCGTATAGATCTTGCTCATGAAGGAGCCGAGAGAACAACTTACTATTGTGAGTAGATAATTTATTGGGAGGTTTGTTTTTGACGCGTTGTATATCTAGAGAGGGCGTGAGGGTACAGTTACAGTCGCCACAAATGATAACATGGCCCTGTTTAATGGAATGTATTTTCTTAATGGCTTTGTTAAGAAATGAGAATTTAGCCTCATTAGGAGCGTATAGCGATACCACAGTTACTTGAATACCATTTAGTTCGCCTACTAGAACCAGTAAACGGCCAGCTGGGTCAGCGAACTGTTTATGAACTGTATAAAGCCAATCTTTGTGGAAAAAAATTGGAACACCTTTGGACTTGTTTGGTGAGTAAGCGTGATACACTTGTGGGTACATTGGAGAACGAATCTGAGGAGGGTTGTGTTTCGCGAAGTGTGTCTCTTGGACACAGACAATCGCGGTTTATGCTTTATGCATGTCCTTTAATAATTGCTTTAGTTTGTAGGGCTATTGAGGCCTTTGACGTTAAGGGAAAAGATTTGTAGTGTATTAGGCTGCATCTATTTCGTAAAGTGAGGAGGCAATGGGACAGTTGTCGCATCTTAGTTTAGTACCGTACAGTGTAGCACTCCTAGTGGTCTACAGCATTGCCCAGTCTGGAGGCATGGAAGCCAAGATGATATTGGGAACACTCTCAATATTCCCTTTGCAGTGGAAACTCTCAGATATCATGGAATGGTCTGATGCGGTTTGGACATAAAGGCCTAATCGTGAAATTGGAAGGGGAGGGGGAGGGGAAGGGAAAAAAAGAAACAGAAAAAAACCTGAAGGAAACAAACAATAACAATAACCCAGGTATATACAAAGGAAACCCTTGATGGGTTTCACATAAACCGCCATCCGTAGGATATGCAGGAACATATCCCATGACGACCTAGGGAGGTCTTGTGGGCTCCTCCCGACCAATGTCACATGAAAGTAGTTTCATAGTACGAATACATTGTATTGTCTATCTTAATGTATGCTATAGAGCCATCCTCTGCACTATAACGGGTAATGCCATGGTCCAAACCACAGTAGTAGAGAAGTCTAGATACTACGCAAGGTGTGGCAAACAGATGTATAAGTTATGCTGTCACACCTAGTGGCATTATCATCGGATGGGCATTGTTATGACTGGTTGCCGTTATAGTATGGCTACTCGCCCTGGATACGTGCGCCCATGTCGGTTACGCTTGTTTGCAGCCTAAGAAAATAGATCAAGCCCCAGAACCGGAGCCCTAGTACCAGATGCGATATACTGTTATGAACTACAATATACAGACGTACAAGGAAGACATAGCGCTGCCTTAGATGGGATGAAACACATTAGGCATGCTACCGTACGTTGTAGAAAGCACTCACAATATTTGTAAATCATGTGGGCTATTAATTTTCTACAGAGTAAGTTATACATATGACCTGGTCATCCAGATCAATTTTTAAATTAGGATTGAGATAGGTATACTGGAAAATCGGTATGGACGAAGCTATATGCAGGATATATATATATATCGAGTTTCTTCAATAAGGTGGGACATTGAAGGGCACCCAGATCATCAGTCTGCATAGCGCTATACTAGTGAGCCATATAGTATCACATTCCCTTTCGTGAACATAGATATAATATATTGGCAGTAGCGCTGTATATAATGTACGCAGCAATCTAAACTATAAAATTATACATGACCTAACTTAACAGTATTCCCAACATTTCTAGATAGGGCTCACGGATATAGAATCAGAGATACTGCTATAATCTCAATTACATATCCAAGGTACTTATCAATACGTCTTGTGTGGACACATGTAACCATAAGGAGATCACGGAGTGTTGGTTGGTGATGTCGCCATCTGCCAGTCTGCTTGAAGTTTTTTCAGGGATGCATTATTCAATGCTTTTTGGGGTTGAGGAGTACCAGTCCATAGTCCCCAGGCTGAGATCAGCTTCATACCTTCCGTCGGGTCAGTCGCTATGTGATTTCGACCTTGTCGCCAGATGATTAATTTGGTGGGATAACCCCATTTGTAAGCCACGTTGTTGTTCCGTAACGTTTTAGTTACTGTTATAAATCCCGTTCTTTTTTCCATTGTAGCTGCCGATAAATCAGCATAAAGTGCGATCCGTTGATGAGGTTCCGGAAGTGATGGGGCTTTCCTCGCCGCTGCCAGCAGGGTTTCTTTATGTGCAAAGTAATGAAATCTTACAATAACGTCCTTAGGGACTTCAGTTGATAGACGAGCAGGCCGTGGGAGTCTGTGCATGCGATCATATGCCCATGCGGAGTTAGGTAGGCCCGGGACCAGAGTGTTGCATATGGACAGAATGTGAGCTGGTAGTGCCTCTTGCGTAACATCATCCGGTATGCCCCTGAATCTTATATTTTGCCTTCTAGACCTGTCTTCCATGCCAGCAAGCTTGTCTCTTAATAGAGAATTTTCTTCGGACAGTTTCTGGACTTTGTCCACCACTTCATTGTGTGCTATACAGAGCTCATCCGTTTTATTTTCCAGGTGACTGGTTCTGTCACCGATATTAGAAATTTATTTTCTCAGATCGCCATTAATGTGGTGGAAGTCTGCTGTTATAGTAGCTCTGAGCTCTTGCAGCATCTTGTGAAGGCTGCGTTCCGTCACTGGAGCTTCAGTGTATTTGTATGAGCTCTGTTCATAGTCTGATTGACCGTCGGATAGATTAGATGTTTCGTCGCCATCTTGGATTTCTTTGCGGCGGTCCGCTCTTTTCGATTTTGTCATGTCCGACAGCTTGAGCTGCTTGGGAGGAGGCATTGTAGGGTGCGGTAATATTCCTGTAAGTTCAGGGTAGAGGGTAGCGATGATTCGATCGCTGAATGCCATTCAATTAGTCGCTCAAGGTCGGGATAACGGCGGAGCTCCTATGCCATGTTTCCTCTCTCACCGGAAGTCGGACACGCCCCCGCCTTTTGTTTGATTTTTAATGCGTCTTATTGGAGATAGTAAATGAGTGCCTAAAATTGCATGTGGTTTACCAGTTAGTCCTATCGGGACTTACACATGATTATTTACTTAAGCGTGAACTGTTGGGAATTCACAGTGAATTTAAAGAGAAACTATAGTCACCAGCTCAGTGGATCTAAACTCAAGGGGCAGCAATTGCTTTGCAAAGACTTCTTTTTTTTTTAGCTGCTTCGTAAAGTATTTGATTGGACAGCCATAAAAAGTCTGGGCTGGGAAGAAGAGAAGGGTATACAAAGGCTACAGATCTTATATCCTTAGAATGATCCAAAGCTAAGAAAGAGAATTAGATAGAGAGCATGTATTACAGTTCCTGACAATTGCCTGTCTTAACACTATAGTGCTGAATGCCTGCATATGTATGCAAACACGTATAGCGGTGTCAGACTCGCCAAGGTCTGGTATAGTTGACACTCATTGGCTGAGAGGGTCATCTGACTGTCCATGAATATTTGTACAGAATTGACATTACCCAGATTGAATTTTTTATTCAAGACTGGATAATAATGCCCCAATGACTCCGCCAGAGATGGAGTTACACCTTCAGCAGCAAAGGGTGAAACACTATATCTCCATATCTGCACCTTGTTATACTGAAACACTTTAAAGACTCCAGGACAACGGCAAATTCCTGACGTGGTCATGGTGCTTGGAGTAACCCTTTAAAAATTTTCAATGCAAACTACTTTATTTTCAAAAACGAAACAATTTAAAAGCCATTCATTGGAATTAAACTGCTGTGGAATGGTTTTACTCATTCTTATTCAGAGCTACTAGAAAGGAATGAGATGCCAGAGTAGGCGAGAGAGAGTGGTATTTGGGTTAAAATTAAGGGGATGTCTCTGAAGTAAGGACACTTATGATTAATGTGTGATCCAGCACAAGCCTTCACAAGTCATGCAGAACAATGAATATATATCACACAACAGCAGGTGTAGAGCTGAGAAATCATTGAGGGGTGTATTAAACAATAGCAGAGGAATGAGAACAGAAAAAAAATTATGTGGGAACGATGGGAAACTAGCTCAACTGATTGCATCAATTGACACATGGATAAGAGGGTGAATTCCTATGTGTCTCCTGATATAAAAAGTGTTTGTTCATTGTAGTTTATTGGACAATAAATGTACACTGTATTCCAGGCTCATGCAAGTGTCTTTATTTGCTCCCATTGTGAATTGTACATTTGAAGTCTGTACAGTAATAAATCTGATTGAAAACAAATAAAAAAGGAAATATTTTTTATTTCCCCATTGTTAGTAGTCAAAGAATTTTAGAATGACGTGACTTATCACCTGGGGTCTTATTATTGCTCCCCACCTCCCCTACTTCAGACAGAGAGGATTCTGAGTTAAGTCCAGCGGTTTAAGACTTAACTTACTAAGACTGATCAGCTGAAACTCTGACAATGAGCTAGCTCTGGACTGCAAGACTTTGCTCAGGAAAACTGATGGAAGCTCCTGTCTAGAAGCTTTTGCCTTTCCATCAGAAGTTGTGAGAGCAGGAAAAGGCACCCAGTCAAAATGTTCTAAAACTGTTTGACTACTTACAAACGGGGTTGGCAGGGCACACTTAGCACCATAATCACTACAACACTCCGTAGGGGTTACAGTGCATGGAGTCTTCCTCTAACCTAAACTTTCATCAGTACATACCTTCACAAAGTGGACTTTGTCATAAATCTATCTGAAGACAAATCCACTCTATTACACATCCCTTCTTGTTAGAAGAACACTCTAATATTAAAAAGAAATGTATTTTTAAGTTGGATGTGTTCTTTACTAAAATTTAATAAAAATAAGAAGCACACCGATGGCACAGGAGTGGCAATCACCGCAATCCACCACCATGCTTCTCACACTCTTATAACATAAGTACAGAGTCCAATGCTTCTCTGCGAGAAGCATTACCTGTGTTTGGCATCATCAAGCTGTAAAGATTTAGAAAATTGCAGGGTCTTAATAAGGAACTGCCTCTAGTAGCAATCAACCCATTTTCTGCCAAAATGTAATAAAAAAACAAGTAATGGGTAAGCGCTAGATAAATGAGCAAAAAGAAAATGTCATCAAACCCTAAAAAGAGGACTCCCTCAAAAGCCTCAGAAATATAGAACAAAAGTAAATAAATTAAAAAAAAAAAAACAGGTTGCCCCTGGTGGTGACTAATTATATCGAATTATAGAAATTTATGCATCTAAACCTATTCATTAAACAAACCTAAATTATTTGCACACATTATTAGTCGTCGTCTTTGTGTTACAACAGACACTAACATTAGCAAATAACACCCTCATTCTTTAACAGTGTAATAAATAATACATTTCTGCAGTCTCCCTTTCCACCATTTAGTACTGAAATACAGGTTGGTGCTTTACGTCTGCTCTGTCTGTTCACCATTATTGCCTACGTTAAGGTATTGCATTATTAAAATTCCAAGCAAAGTACACACTAAATAAATAGTGTTTAGCAAGTGACAATATTCTCTTGCCAACTCCACCCAGACTTAATAAAGTTCTCCTTCCACATGAATATCTGTAAATAAATCTAATACCTTCCCCTGAACTTTGCATAGCATCTCCTGCAGTGAGAAACACGTGGGAAAATATTAAGCTAAGAAAAAAAAAAAAGGAAATTAATTGTTTGGAGATGAGCTGGTTACACTGAGTGAGAACCGTGCTGCAGAGAGTCAGTACAAGGCACAAGGAGCTCGAACTCGTCAAAGAGAACCAGAAGATATCTGAAAAAGTTGCACCATTTGGTAACGTACACAATAAAGACTAATAGATAAAATAGACATTTGCACGTTTTAGGGAATTTTCATTATGTTGGCTATAGAGGGAGCTATCTATGACTTAGATTTAGAGAAGTGTATTTTCTGAATTTCATGCTTGTAGAACTTTTTTGTTTAAATTTAATTAAACTGTGTTTTCTGGTTTATTGTTACATATTTATTTTAGACACACACACACAGACACACACACACACACACCACACCCTCCCCAACATTTTATTTGCTCAATTTACAAGTCATGTAAGCGATCATTTAGAAAAAGGAAGGTATTCTTTTAGCAGTTACAAATGGATCTGTGCTAGTTAACAGGGTTTCTCTACAGGATTGCTAACGTTTTGCAGGAAAGGTTTGCAATTAGAATTCACTCAGAGTTTGCCTTCCATTAGTCCATCCTGTGTAGCACATGCTCAGGTGGACTGGAACACCAATGGTTAGCCGAAACAGAACACGAGCACCTTGGAGGGTGAAAGACAAGCACTTTCTTATGCCTCTCATAAGAACGGCATCAAAATCTATGTATTAGGGGGCGGAGCCTGGCATCTAGACTGAGCGGTTGTGCTGAACCTCAGCTCCCGCTTTACTCAGCATTTTCTGGGGATAATACCCCGAAAAATCGGTGCAGCCGCACACTAGAGGAAGGCTACCTTGAAGGGGACACCCGGGGGAATCGCCCGATACCACATACAAGCCTGTAACCCCCCGGGACCCAACGAGATACCCTGAGGCCTGCCGGAGATCGAGCTTCGGGGAGACGGCCGCTCCCTGGGCTGACTGACCTGGATGTAGTGCCCTCGGGGTTGACCACTTCTACCCCCCCCCCTCGGGACCGACGGGGGTCATCTCGGTCCGCACCAAACGACAGCAAGGGCAGTGAGAAGCTGCACTAACACTCTGACAAACTGCAACACAAGGGCAGCCGGGCCCGTGGTGCACCCAAAATGGCGGCGGCAAGCACATCAGACGAGCTGCACTGCAAATCTGAAACGGACAGCGAAGATGTGAGGCGCATAGAAGCTGCTTTTGCCCGATTCTGGCACAAACTAAATAAAAAGCTGCAAACACCTCAAGTGACCCTGCAACCCCTAACAGGTACGAGTAAACACGACCGTGCCCATGGGGAAAAGAGAAAAACACAGCCGCACAAGCAGACAGTACACACTAAGGGGAAGAGGCGCCCCACTCCGGGCACAGCAACTGACCCCAAACCAGCAACGCAAGCACAATGCCCGCCGAGGCAGAGGGCCGTGAGGAAACCACCTCCGCAGCATCAACCACCCTGCAGGGGGACTGCCCGCCGCAGGCGGCGAAGATACACCGGCTCCACCTGCACCCGACAAGGGAATGCCTCGATCTCTCAGAGCCCTCGAGTCAGAGGTCCGAAGATGCCACCCTCCATAAAGGCCTGGGGCTGGAGGGGGACCTCCACCCACAACCACTGCACTGACTCCACATGCCTTCCTTCTCCTGACAACAACTGGCCACGAACAGGCATGGGATGAAGAGGACTGAAAGAACTCTTTAACCTTTGCTCCTCACTGAATTCACTGCTTAACTTTCGCCTACATGTTTGACGGCTGTTGGTAATGATTTAGTGCTATGCTTAATATGTCACACGGCCCCCACACACTGCAGTCTGCTCTCCCTCATTTACTATGTCTCCCTAACCTGATTTTGAATATGCTCAAATAGATATTTATTTGTTGGAGCCTGGACATTAGCCAGTCTGCTCATATACCACTGCACGTATGGCAGATAGTAGTGGGGGGTGCCCGGGGATATAGGCACGTCAGTATTTGCTAGCAGTTAATCGCTTATTATGTTAGCGTGTTCTTATTATTTGAGTTAATTTTACACAACAGGGAACTACTGAGCTTACGCAATCACCCTATACAAAACTTGTTCACTTAACCTGTTACAACTAGTCAATGTTAAGCGACTTAAATTGCATATTGCCTAAACCTGTTTACAAAAGCAATGTTAAATCATAAAACATAAAAAAGAGGTACAAATATTAAGGAAATGTTAGATACCACTGTTATTGAGCCCTGTACTGTTTTCTAAATGCACATTTC